CGAGGGGGAATGTTAGAAGTATAGTTCTGTTTAAGCTAGATATAAAGGTTAGAGATAGAATATATTTAAATGATGTATGAGTTGTCTCGTACTTTATGTCTGACCCACATTCTACTCTATACATACCCATACTAGAGTCAGATAAATACGCCGGAATATTAGAGTTCTAATATCTTACACAGTATGTACATTATCCCACTGGTCTCTCACATGCATGAACCGCTTTATATGTCACTCACCTCTGTGTGCTCTCGATGATCAGTAGGAATAGAATGTTCCACTTGTATAAGCGGGCACGATGACTAAAAGTCTCGGTGGATGGAGTCCTCCGGGTCATTCACGGCATGATGTCCCGCTCTTGTCTGACTCCCTACCATATATGTCGTACATATGCGAAGAAAAAGGACCGGTGGTTAGGGAAAGAAGGAGAAAAATGCATGCAGACACCTAAAACATTCGTACGTATGGGGCTGGTCCTGCATGTACGAAGCGGCATCGAATTAGCTGGCGCAGGAATTGCTTGCATGCGCCGGAAAAAATATTATAATTTTGTACTATACATTTCCTCGTGTGGAGATAAAAGCAGTCGCTCCTGTTTCAAAGCTTGATTCAATTCCGGCGTGCTGCTGGCTTTTTCTACACAAATTTTGTTAGGACCCGGAGATGGTGCATATTCAAACTTGCAATGCTTGTGTAGTAACCTTTTCCCACCATCAAGTTCATCATGGATTTAGCTTTTCCACACAAGCTAATGTATATCTATATCTATACTCTACACCTACTATTAAAGGGATTAGGTATTCTTGGTTTGGTTTGGTTTGGTTTGGTTTAGTCCTTTTCATCGATTTTCGTTTGGTTTTTTTAGGTGAAGATTTTCGTTTGGTATGAGCACTAAAGTTTCGTTACAGTTCACTCATACAGGGTAAGCCATTTGGGTCAGGTACTTGTACGTTGATGGTCCTTCTATGAGCTTTCATAGAGACCGCGAAAAATAATTATGTCAAAATAAATCAACATTATGGGAATAGACGCGGCACCTCCTGTCTGGCTCTTTGATGTAACAACCAACGAGTTATGCATCTTTCACGTTTACTAATCCCACCTTGCTCTTTTAGAATGGTTCCCACCAGTAAATATACAAGCGGGAAGTGGCCTCAGGAATCAACCAACAGACTGTTAAAACAAAGGAGAGCAGCCTCATGTTTAGGATGAGCTAATTAAGCAAGTGAGCTAACTAAAGGAAGAATTGTGGGCTTAAATGGGATATTTAAATGGATGTGCCTAATTAAAGAAAGGATTGTGGGTAAACCGATGAAATAATTAAAAGAATGATTGTGGGCTTAATAAATAGTATATTCAAATAAATGGGGCTAATTAAAGGAAGGATTTGAGGTAAAAAGATAGGATAATTAAAAGGAAGAATCCATAGGCTTCATTGTGGTGGGGCTACTAAATAAAAAAACGATTTGATTCTCGACTAAAAGGGGTGAGGGCGTCATGGTAATTAAAGGAAGGATTATAGTTAAATGGAATCAGTGGGAGATTATGCCGCAAAGAAAATATGGACACAGATAAATTGCATCCTATTTTTTATGTTCACTTTGTAAAAGGATGTTGCATTGCAGTATGTTCTTCGTAGTGAATCTGGTGCTACGAGACATGATGCTTGAACAAAACATCATTTTTTCTGTTGCAACACATGGGCACATGTGCTATTATAGTCCTAAGTATGTAAGTGATGTACGTCCATGGTTGTTAGTTGATTTGCATTTACATATGCTTGTGTAAAGGCATCTTCAAGGCGGACCCGTGAATCTCCCGCAACCGTCTGGACCGCGCTGTCTGGACCGTCGAAGCCATCCAACGCCGACCTGCATCAGTCAGCGGAACGGTACGGACGCGATTTTCTTGCAAACCGAAGACAAAAGTGGGGGAGGTTTGCGGGAGTCCGGACCGCTCCCAAGCCCGCTTTTGACCGCCCTGGCCCACCAAAACCCGTCAGCCGCCCCTCTTGCACTTTTATTCCGATGCACGCGCCGCTAACCGCGCTGCATTCATGCCGGCCCAGAGCACGCGAACGCCAATATTGATGTCGGGATGTGACCGGAGGGAAGGAGGGCGGCGCTGACCGACGCGACATCTCGGCAGTCGCCGCTTCAATGCGGATGCAGATTCCCGAGGAACCAACTCTGGCTGCTGCGCCACATTGAAGCGGCTGACCGGCCCTTCGCATGGCTTGGCCGCAGGTATTTAAGTCACACTCCGGCACTGTCCATATCGCATCCTCCTCCTTCCACCTCCTCCTCCTCCTAGCCGCACCCCCTTCCACATCTCCGACGATGGGCAAGTCCTTGGCGTCGGTGCCGGCAGGCGGTTCTGGGGTGGGATCTGACGGCTCGTGGAGACGCTGCTCTCGGACTGCAGGGTCGTTGTCCTCATCAGGTGGAGGTGACTCAACACAGGCAGAGATCATCATCTCACGAGGAGGACCTTCAGCCGCCGCCGTCGCAGTCCGCTCTAGCAGTGTCGGGCCAGGTCTGCGCCGGCACCAATGCAGAGTTCGAGGAGCAGATGGAGCTGATGCTCCGTTGCTCCATCGTCCACGCCAATGGCCCGGCTCCGCCATCGGGGGTGCTCCTCCCTGTGAAGCCG